ATTATTATTATTGTTATTATTATTATTATTATTATTATTATTATTATTATTATTATTATTATTATTATTATTATTATTATTATTACCATTATTATTATTATTATTATTACTGTTGCCATCACTACCATAATTATTATTAACTTTAACTTTTTTTTTAAAAAGTATTTCACTTTTTTTATTGGTTTTTGTGCAATTAATTTACTATTTATCTCTGTCTCATCGTTGTCGTTATTTTTATCTCCACCATCACTATTACTATAGTTATTGCCATTACTATTATAATTAGTACGGAAAAAAGAAAAACAAATGTTGATTGGTAATTTTTTGCAGGATTGCGATGTATGGAACCACGTTGGAGTGGTGTTCGATATTCTTTCCTTGCAAATCCACCGTTAATTACCGGTCAAAGTTCCATGGAAAAATGGATTATTGAAAAAGCGGGTCTTTTCGATTTTCGCTTATCGAAATTTAGTCCAGCATTACAAATTGATTGGAATTGTCATACATTTCATAATTTATATATTCGAGATAATTTTTGGAATGGTATTGATATCGTATACAATGATTTGACAAGAAAGCCAGCAATTCGAATGAGTCAATTTGAAAATAATCGTCGTCATGGATTTAAAACACGTTCACAAGGAATTACAATTCAAAAAGTTTGCAAAATTTATTAAAAATTGAAATCGCTTTAAACATCCAAATTATGCCTAAATCAGCTAACATAAACATTTAGAAAGTTTAGTTTAAAATTTTTGAAGTTAACAGATCGAAATGATATGCCATTAATTTGCTATTAATCGATTTACTATAAGTATTTTTTGATTTTACATGAATTTTTTTGATTTTTCCCATTTGTTTACTTTTTCTTGTTTTTTGGTTATAAGTAATAATTCGATTAGTATAATAATTAGTATTTTTCCATAGTATATTTTAAAAAAAATAAGATTTCTCCATTTTAGGTATCTCTAATTGGAAATGGACAATCTGGTTTTCGATATAATCCATTAATAACAAATGATTTACAGTATGATATTATAACATGGTTGGAACGTCGAGAGCAACCAGAAATGGAAGCTAATAATGTTTTTATAATACCAAATACTAATATTGATAAATTAATGGTTTATGAATCACATCTTAATCAACGAAAATTTTTAGTTGCAAAAGCGACATCGGATTGTCCACTTGGTTAATTCTTTTTATTTTTATTTCTTTGTTTTTTATTTCAAAAAAAGGAAAAACTTTCATTTCTAACTTTAACTAAAAATTAATTAGCAATTTTTCAAAATTTTGTTATAATTTAAGTGAAATTTGAATTATTTACAATTAGTTGAATGAAATATTACTGTTAATAATAAAAAATTAAATTCTACTCAAAAAACAAGTTTAAAACTTAGTGTTATAGCAATTTAATATTTTGCGAGTATTTTGTGAGAGAAAAAAAAGATTTGATATTTAATACAATTTTTTTTACAGAGTATTTTTAAAAATTATTTTCTCTTTTTTTAATTTTATGAAAACAAAAATTTTTTAAATAAATGAAATAAATTTTTATTTACTCTTTTCTCTTCTCTCTCTTTCTCTCTTTTACGATTATAATAAATTTTGACACTAATTGAAATTTTATTTAAAAAAAAATTGTTTTATTACGTTTTTTTTCCTTCCAGCACTTCTTGATCCATGTATCTATGAGATGTCATTATTTGCAAGTGGTCATGAATATGGTTTAAATTCAAGATTAGCTATACAAGTAAGTCATTCATTTCAAACAATTAAATAATTATCATCTCCGATAAGGTTGTGATAATTTATGCTTTATCACTTTTTTCTTTAATTTTTTTTCGTTTCCCTTAACAATACTTAATTACTATGGATTAAAAGCAGTGAAAAAAAATAATGTAATTAACGTTCATGTCCGAAATCTCGAAACGTCAATGATAATTCCATTACATATAATCATTAAATTAATAAATGAATTAATTGATAATTGATAATATCATTTAATCATTTATCATACAAATATTAACGCAGAACAGGAAAAAAATGCATGAAACATCACATAATATAACTTTTTTCTTCATATTTTTTCTTTTTAAATAATTAAAAATATGAATAATTTTTTATTAAAAATTTTTTGTAAATGATTAGTAATTATGACATAAGCGTGACAAAACTTGTAAAATTGTTAGGCAAATTTCTTTTTTTTGCATAGATAATTAGTATTCATTAATTAATATTTATAACAGGTTATTAATCGAGTTAATTGGGAAAGTGATGAAGATATTCATCTAATTGATAGTATTGGTAAAAAATATGGAGCGTACGCAATGATCTTATCCATTTTCCTATTATATCAGTTTCAAATACGTTACAATTAAAATATACGCGAACATACGGGAAACCATCGGTGATTATTCTAGTACTTTTCCTCGATGGTAAGTTAAATTTTACAAATTAATTTGAATATTTTTAAAATAAAAAAATTCGAAAAATTATCTGATTATACATTTTTTTTTTCAATATTCCAATTATAACTCAGATATCAGTAGCTTTACCTTTTTTTTTTTTTTTTCTATTGAATATTCAAAAATCGTCAATCATATTTAATAAAAAATTTAAAAATGACACTGATTTTAATTTGAACTAATATTTCTAATTTTTATATTTTTTAAATTATAAATTTTTCCACCTTTTTTTACAGCTCAAGAATATTTGAATCGATATGTGCATGTGTATCAATCACAAATAATCAATAACCAATATGCTATATCATCAATTCATTATTCAAATTGGACAATTAAAAATGATCATTTGTTAAATCGTTTAGCTAATGAAAAGCTTTGGTTTCAAAAAGTTGATTTTATCAATAATAGAGAAGCTATCATATGGATTCATTCATCACAACATACCATTTTTAATAACAATACACCTATTGCAACGGTATGCTTACATATTGAAATTTGAAATATTTTAAAAAAGAAAAGAAAGATTGCACAAAATATGCTACGTCTAATTAATTGATCAACTAATTAATTAATTGCTTACTGAATTAGCTATACACTAACTAAAAGTTTATTCCAATCATTCATTTAGTAAAGATGGTGAAAATAAGAGCATCTTAGTATAATGTCTAAATTTAAAAGTTTTTAAATCTTAAAAAATCTACTGGGAAAAGATTTAGTAAATGTAATATTTTAAAAAGCAAATCATTAAATTAATAAGATAAGGAGCATATAAAAGATCATTTAAAATAAATAAGTAAAATTAATATTCTTTTAAAAAAATTATTAAATTAAATATGTGTTAATTTAATTATTAAAGCATTTATACTGAAACTTATTGCATATTGAAAATAAATAAATTTTTAAACTTGCATTTTTTTTTTTGCAGATCAAATGAACTAAATGATTAGTTTAACTGTTATCATTTGCATATTAATTTAATCATTATTCTTATAGATTGGTTATCATATTGATAATTGTTCAATAATTAATAATACCGGATCAATAATCGAATCACATCATGATCTTTACAATAATGCTAATATATTCGAATGGTTTTTTTGGTCGAATACTTTTGCAAATAATGCAAATAGCACAATAATGATACACTTACCTGATCCAATTAATTTAAAAACTCAACAAATTCATTCTCTCAAAGTATTTTATGAGTCATTCCTTTCTTTTTTTCCTATACAAATAATACAATAACAATTTTTTTTTCTTTTTTTTGTGGAAACGGTATAATAATGACAGTTCTTTTACGCAGATAATATAATTATCATGTTTTTTAATGCAAATAATGCAATAAAGACATTTTTTAATTTAAATAGTGTAATATTGATATTTTTTCTTTGCAAATAGGACAATAATGGTACATTTTATATGCAAATAACACTGTAGTGATATTTTTTCTATGTAAATAAGACAATAATGATACATTTTCTACGCAAATAACACTGTAGTGATATTTTTTCTTTGCAAATAGGACAATAGTGATGCATTTTATATGCAAATAACACTGTAGTGATATTTTTTCTTATACAAATAAAGACAATAATGATACATTTTCTTACGCAAATAACACTGTAGTGATATTTTTCTTTGCAATAGG